GTTTCATTATTAGAGTCCTCTTTAGAGCTAGTATTATTAATATTAGGTTTATACCTATAGATAGCTACTATCTAAGCACGTTATTATATAATATTATGAGGCTTATTTAAGTTATAGGTTAGTTTTTATTTAAGGTTAATATATTTAGACGTCTTAAACTATCTATTTTCTTTAAGGGCCCTATATTCTAGGAGGCTATTAAGTTATTCTTAAGCCTTATGCTTAAGTTTGCTATTGCTTCTATATCCTATAGTAATAGTTTATTAATTTAGGGGTCTATTAATATTCTTTACTCTAGTAGTATTATATTCTATTCTACTGGGGTTCTTAGGGTACTATCCTATATATTCCTTAGAGTCTAAGTAAACTCTATAGTTATTATTAAAATAGGTAGTCTAACTAAGTTATTTATAAGGAATTACCTTAATAGTAATATTAATTTATTTTTTCTTAAGTACTAGCTAGAAGCGTTCTTTTTTAGGTGCTTTATATTCTTTTATAAAGTATCTATTCTTATTATAGTTATAGCACTTAATATTCTTCTTCTAGCTATTGCCCTTATTATTGTTGTTGCGCTAGGCTGCGCTAAGATCTATAGGTCCGCTATAGTGCCTATAGGTAGTGCTATTGCGTTTATTACGTTAATTATTATTATAGTATTTAACTAGTACTTATAGCTAGAGTTAATAGGTTATTATTATTTACCTTTCTCCTTATATTACTTATATAGTTAGTTATTAATCTTAATAATAAGCTTAATATACTAAAGGAAGTCCTTAGGTCTATTAACCTTAATAATTTTATCCTTAACTTTATCCTTAAGGTTATTATAGAATATAAAGATCTTACCTTTCTTAGTTAAGTCTAGCTAAGTATAGATCTATTAGAACTCTATAGTATAGTCTTTAGCTAACTTAGTCTATTTAAGGTAAAATAAGTCTTATTTAGCTTATTATTTCTTATTAGGGTCTTAAAATAGAGACTTTAAGGCGGACTTAAAGCCCTAGAAGCTACTAAAAATATCTCTAACTTTAGTAGAATAGTAGTTAAGTATTTCCTTATTGAGGTACTCCTTAAGGAAGGGTTTAAACTACTAGAGGGCTTATCCCTTAAGGAAGGTAGATATATAGATAACCTTCTTAGTTCTATTCTTAAAGTTACTATAATAGAAATTCTAGTAGTTCTTAATTTAGATAAGGAATCCCTTAAGCTACCCTAGGGATCTATTAAAAGGATTAAGAGAATTAAGTTAAAGCTTCTTTTATCCTTCTATAATAGGGGTAGTAATAATATTAATAGTAGCTTAAAGAGTATAGTTCTACTATTTAAGTTCCTAAGTATGCTAGTTAGATAAGTATATAGTAGCCTAAAGTTCTTTAGTAGTATAGGTATTAGCATTAAATATTTCCTATATCTATTAGATATTATAGTTAGCTTATTTAAGCTATTCCTTAAGCATATTATTATTATTACTATTACTATTATCTTTTATTCTCTAATCCCTAAGTTCTTAAGTAAGGTTCTTCTTAATAGGGGCCTTCCTAGCGCTAGAGGAGGATCTAGTGCTAGGGGTCTTTCTAGAGAGTTATAAAGATATTATAATACTATTAGTAGTTTTTAAAGGGTAACTTACTAAATAGGAGTAATTAAAGTATTATAGCTAACTAACTAATAGTAGGTTTATATTAGTAGTAAGTTAGGGATTAAGAACTATAAATAGTATTAAGTTATTCTATAGAGCTATTTAAGTAATTATAGGTCTTTAAAGGTCTTAGTAATTAGTTAAGGCCTTAATAAGATTTATAGAGTAATTATTACTTAGGTATAGCTAAAAGTATTATAAGTAATAATTATAAGTTAATTACTAAAGAGCTATAGAAGTTTATCCTTAAGCTGAGCTTAAGTCTATCCTATATATAAGTCCTTTTCCTAATATATACTCTTTATACTGTAGGTTGAGCTAGATTATTCTAATTGAGAATAATTATTTAGCCCCTAAGTCTATCTAGATCATTTTGATCCTAAATGATCCTTATCTTATTATTACGTGACTTATACTATAGTTCTTCCCTTCTGAGGATCCCTAACCGTCCTTATGTCACTAGGTCATATATGTCCACGTTAGCCGCTGAGAGCCTGGCGGGGTTATGTTAGTAGCTAAGCCCAACGGGTTGTAACAGGGAGTTAGTACTAAATAGGGGAATAGGTTGGTTTAATATATTAATAGCGTCTATAGGGAGAAGCTATATAATATTATAGTTATAAATAGGTAGGAGGTAAACGCTAAGTAGATAGGAGGTTATATATTTAGTTCTAGCTATAATATAGGCTTTATCCTTAATAGGTATAAGCTCTATTAATAAGATATAGCTTAAGGAGCTATAATTTAAAATATTAAATAGATTATAAGTTTTATTAAAATATACTTTATATAACTAGCGCTAGCGTTACTTAGGTAGAATAGGGTATATCTATACTAAGCTATAATAGAACCTATTATACTAAGTAGCGCCTAAGCAGGCTAACGCTATTCTAAGCGCTCTAGACCTACTACTAACGCTAGCGCTTACTTAAGGTACTATAAGAAATATATATGTGCTATTACTTATTTCTCTTCTATCTATTAATTATTTATAATACTCTCATCCTAATATAAAGTATAATCTATAGTTTAATAGATACGTCTACTAGGACTAAATTATTATAGCTAGCTAACTAATAGTAGGGTTTATATTAATAGTAAGTTAGGTAATAATAATAGTAATAGTTACTTATTATTCTATAGGTCTAATTAAGTAATTATAGGTCTTTAAAGGGCTTAGTAATTAGTTAAGTCCTTAATAAGAGTTATAGAGTAGTTATTACTTAGGTATAACTAAAAGTATTATAAGTAATAATTATAAGTTAATTACTAAAGAACTATAGAAGTCTATACTTAAGTAGACTTAAGTCTATCCTATATATAAGTCCTAAATAGTCCCTTTACCCCTAGGACTAATATCTTACTATTAGTCCTATTAGATAGACCGCCCTTAGAACGTTAGTCCTAACCCTAATCCTATCCTAAAACTACTTATTAAAAGTTAATCCCTCTTATTATTATATAACCTATACTATAGTTCTTCCGTTCCTAAGGGAACCCTATATATTCCTATAATCCTATATATAAGGTGCTGTCCTAACCGCCCAGTATCTTAGTGGGGCGTTCTTTATTAGTTATACCTAACGGGTCGTAACATAGATGCGGGATAACTGTCCGCAAGGGTATTAGTGCATTACGTACGAGCATCTGTTGTATAGTAGTTATATAGACGGTTGCTTAACCCCTATGTTCTGTTTTAGAATAACTAAGGTCTGTTGTATTATCCCTGCTTCGCACGCACGATTGTAACTAGGACCCCGGTGTTACATTAGCAAAGGAGCACGTACACTTCAGCGTTTAGGCGACAGTTCGGAGTTAATAATTCAGATTTAACGTGGCGCACCAACCCCTTTCAAGGGTGCGTATGCATAAGAATAGAAACACATAAGAACAATAGAATTGGGACAAGTGTGCCTATTCAACCCATTTTGATAATAGTATACAGTAAGAATCACGCGAGAAAGGTGACTCCCGCTAGTCGCCCAATACCTCAACAGCCCTCTTTAAACCAAACGTCTCGCCCAATTTCATTAGGGAAGAATAGCAAAAGGGCATTAGCTACGTTTGCAGGAGGCAAGTGAATAGGGCATATTGTTTTAGTGATGAATGGGGTTTCCATAGGTTTCAGCCAGAAGCGCCGAGGCAGCAGCTAGTAGCTGCCTAAGCTATTCTAGTCCGCCACTGCGGCTGCTGTTGAAATCACACCCTGGGGTACAGCTAGCCTGTAAGTGTTAGAAGATAAGCTGACGGGAACCCCACCGTCCAAGACGGTATTTTCTTTTAGCTATACCCTGTTCCGCTCCGTCCGTTTTGAGGAGCGGTGCCTACTACTTTAGGTTGGTAAGGCCATCCAAAAAAGGCCGTCCCTGCTCCATCTAGATGATTCCAGTGAGGGCCGGATTAGTAGTTGGGTCGGTGACGACCAGCGAATACCTGGTGTTGTATGTTGGTCTTGACTTTTTTGGTCATACCTACATGTTGGTAGGATGCCGGTCCGTCTACTTTATACGTAAACAGGCAGTTCCTAAAGGTTGCTAACGATGTTACCAGATGTTAGATGATGCGAATTGAATGGATATTTGCGCTAAAAAGACAATGTGTGATTAGTTTTTCTGCTACAGACTATGCTCATTTGATGGTGAAAAACCTTACTTTGCTGGCCCTAAAGAACAAGCTTGTGCGGTTCCCTCTAAAGAGCGCCGCAATACCGTGAGTGGTTTTAGGGTGACTGGCTGTTGTGACTAACTTGAGCCCAGTGGTAAGTAACATGGAGTTCAGACGATCCGAGAAGAATTCATAACTTGCATACGGCCTGATGTCTAATTATAATGCAACCTATGGAACACGTCAATGCAATAGGTGCCCGGCTTGCCCTCCATTCGCATCATCCCATCCTGCCCTGTTCTATGCCCGTCCCTTCGGCTGTCAGCCTTTCGGTAATTGGAGCCCTTCAGCGCCTCACAGACGCTAAACTGCCCGACTAACATGGGATCTGCATTTCCCAATCGGGGCAGCTAATTACCTAAATTAGATGGGCGTCCACGGGTTTTGAGAACGAAGGCGTGAGGTGGACCGCATAACTTGGAAGGCCTTATCCGTACCTGACTGACCCGACGACCCTGATCTCTCCCGCTCCCGCTCCCCCTTCTGCCACTGCGACTACCGCAATTGCGACGGCAGCTTTCTACATTTTACCCCCTCCCCCGACTCTCTTACTCCCCCATGTCACCGCCAGGCTGAACACGGGGCGAAATTCAATTTCCCTCCACTCAATACCGATTCTGCCGTTAACGTTAACGTCAACGTCATCATCTCCATCACCGCGTACCACGCTTGGCCTTGGACGCAGACGCCCGCCATGTCTGTCGGGCCTGCGACGACTCGCCATGCAGCTGACGAAGAGGCCCGCGCCGAGGTCGACGTCTTGAACTCGCGGCTCGAGAAGACTGCCCAGTTGACCAAGAAGATCCAGGCATGCATGGGAAGGCTGGAGTCCACGGGCAAGAGCGTGCGCGAGGTCACCGGCCCTCTCAGCGGTGAGACGAAGAAGCTTCAAGTCCTAGGAAACAGTACGTTCATCGCTAGGCATAGTATCCGCCTTGTACCTGGCTGCCCTGGTAAATTGCTGACCCTGAGTTCCAACCGTAGATATTGACGCCGTCCTTGCTGCCATCGAGCGCCTTCGTCAACCCGCTGACAGCAAAAACGATGAGGAGCAAATCATTCGCGCCGGACCCGACAAGATAGGTCTCTCCAACTATCTTGCGTCCATCAAGCGTCTGAGCAAGTCTCTTGTCGACATGCAGGCCTCCAATCTACGCGCGAACCAGAATACCATGTCCGAGCTGGTGCGTTTGATCAAGTCAGGCAACTCACAACTCGAGAGCCACTTCGACAAGCTACTGCGAGGCGAAACGCCCCGTTCGGTGGAACCACTTCACTACATCACCAAGGACGTGCCTTTCCCCGTTCTGTCCCAAGACAAAGTCACGCGTCTCGGGCTGGTCAACTCCTACATCTCCAACAACCATCGCCAGAATGGCGGTGCTGCTGCTCCTCAGGAGTCTTCTACCGCCAAGATATACGCCGAGATCCGTGGGCCTTACCTCTCGTCTACCCTGGTCAATCTGGCCGCTGCCAGCGTCAACATGACCAAGAAGAAGAATGCCGACGCCATCTATAGGGCAGGCACCAACGGCATCGGCACATATGCTCAGGCCATGGAGGGCTTATTTCTGGCCGAGTACGACAATATCTGCAGTATATTCACTCGCGAAGATTGGGGTCCTTTATTTCAAACCACTTGCCAGTCCGCCATGGCTGAGCTCGCCCGCACGTTACGGGAGCTCAACAGCCACATCAAGTCTCATCTCCATACAGACTGCTATCTTGCCTACGAAATCACTGAAATTATGTCGGGCCTGTCGAGTAACTTGGAGACCCGTACCGGTGAACTCAAGTCATCACTAGCCGCAGCCCTTCGTCCTGTCCGAGAGACGGCCAAGCTCTCACTGGGAGAGTTACTGGAAGACACAAGACGCAGAGTCAACAGTATGCAGACCCTGCCTCAAGATGGTGCGCCGATAGCCATCGTGTCGGAAACAATGCAGCGTCTTCAGACTATGGTTGAGTTCTTGCGGCCTATTTCGAGTATCATGTTTTCCCTGGGCGACGGAGGATGGAAGTCCACCAGCTCTGCTGGGGCGTCCACGGATGCAATTCCAAGCCTTGCCTCATTCGATATAGGCGCCGACGGCAAAGAGATTTTCGCGCACTATTGTGCGGACACGGTAGACATGTTGCTCTCCTCACTGGATCAGAAGGCCAAGATGGTTCTCAAAGGAAGAGGTGTGATCGGCGTGTTTCTCGCCAACAGCGTCGTCATTGTCGAGCGCATGATTCGCGACTCGGACTTGGCTCCCCTCCTCGAGCAGAGGATGGGCATGCTGGACCAGTGGCGCAAAAAGGCAACCTCCATGTATACGATAGACTGCAAGGAGGTTTCCGCTCACTTATTCGACGTTATTCACACGAGCAAGCAGCGGCCGACCTCTGGCCAGGCCGACTCAGCCTCCATTCTCAAGGGTCTCAGTAGCAGAGATAAGGATAACATCAAGGGTAAATTTCAGGCGTTCAATGCCTCATTCGACGAAATGGTCACCCGCCACAAGACGTACAACATGGAGAGAGAAGTGCGGCAGATGTTCGCTCGGGATATCCAGCAGATGCTGGAGCCCCTGTACAACCGATTTTGGGACCGATATCACGAGGTTGACAAGGGCAAAGGCAAGCATGTCAAGTACGACAAGGCCGGGATAGCTGCTGTATTCATGACGCTGTACTGATAAAGGAAGGTTTCCACGGGTCTGCGTCATTCGAGCGTGGTTTTTGGTTTTATGTTTTTTGCGATAGGCGGGGCGTCACGGTTGCGGATACCAAGTCCAGATTTGGCGGTTGACTTTTATTCCAATGGGTCCCTCATGTACGCGCTCTTAAACGAGGTGACTGAAGCTGGGGGTTCCTATCTCTATGGCATCTACTCACGTCGAACTATGCAGAAAGATCCCTCCAGCAGCTTCGGACACCTAACACGGGGATGGCAAAGCGCTCCACCTACGACCGTTTCCCAGTAGTTCCGACTACCTGGCATCGTAACGCAAGGACAGTATGAGTGAGAGTGGATCATATGCCCATTGAATTTCTTCTTCGGCGTTGTCGTCCTTGCCTCAAGTTGTCTGGCCTTGTGCCTTCTTGAAGAGCAGATCGATGCGTTTAGATCTATCCCAAACGACAAGTTCGTCGCTGCGACGTTTGAACCAGAGAATTCTGTGTTGAGGAATGAACTCCTCGTGCGTTTGCTCGCTCTTCCACTCTGTCAGAGCCTTTTCTTGTGGCCCCAGAAATCTGTCCTCATACCCAACCACAAAGTCATTCCCGTCAATTTTGGGATCCCAGCGAAGTCTGTTCAGTACGTCCAGAGCAGTTCTGAATTTGCCTCCCCCTTCGGGTTTCGGGACGGTCGTGGAGCGCGTGTGCTTGGTCGACTTAGCCTTCTTCGTCGATTTTTCCGCCGCCTGTTCCAGAATGTCTTCATTTTCTCCCTCCTCTTCCTCGTCCGTATCCGATTCATCGTCGCCGTCAACATGCTCGCCCCATTCCCGATCATCAAGTGCGAGGTCACCTAGCTCGTTGCCCCTGACAAGAGTGGCGCTGAACCAGGACGTATTTGGGTCGTAGTACTTATCGTCGCCATGAATGTGTTGTTCGAACTGCTGAAGCACGCCGTGCAAGTTGCTATGGGCGGTCTCAAGAATGTCCTTCCCGGGCTTGTCGTTGGAGTTCATCCATTCCAAACCTACGAGGTAAGAACCCTGATAATCCTTCTGCTCGCCTTGTGCGGCTTGCGTGGCTGCGTCGACGAAGCGTGCTGGCCAGATTCTTGGAGAGAGCTCCGGTACCTTTCTGTTAATATCTGTGCATTGGTCAGCATGTTAACCAAGCCTTTGGAGGATTGGGACCGTGGAGTTGACTTACCGACGAGAAGTGAAGCACAACGGGACTCGAGCCAGCCGACGAGTTTGCTTCCGCGTTCGAGTGAGCCTCCCCAGTAATGGACGCGTAGATCAACAAAGGTCTTGAATGAGGACAAGAAGTTCGCCGCACCAGTCGTCAGGGCTTTTTTGGAGTTTGCGCTCGGTATTGACAGTAAAGATTCCCAGGATGCCCCCTCAACGAGTTTGAAGTCGACTTGACGGAATTCCTTGGATATTATCTTGACGGTAGGCACGGACGCAATGAGGGCAGTATTGAGCGTTGGAGAGTGCCATCCTAGGAGGCACATGGCCTCTCGCGGCGTCCGATGGTACCGTAGTTGCTTGTGGAAGAAGGGGTCAAAGACCATATCATTCTTCCAGTCGAAGTGTGCGTAGTGGTTGAAAAATGTGGCGATGATGTCCGCCGTCGATGCAGTCCCGCCCTCGTGCAACAGCATCTTGCATATCCTGACCAGCATGACAGACAGGTGGATTCCACCAAGATAGCCGAATCTGGCCGCGTAGATCCCACGCGCTCGTGCCCAAGTCTTGATTGCTCGGTAGCTTATACGGAACTGAGCCAGGTCGGGGATAGACCTCGTGAGATATAACAAATCCCGAGCCGGCTTCAGCTTCAGCAGCGTCTGTGTCGGCAGGCTGAAGGATGGGTCAGATGGAGGCCGCTTCAAAAGCGCAGGCCACTGACTGGCCACATGTGAAGCCTGGCAATATTGGAGGTCGCACCTAAGACCAAGGACATCAATTTCCAACATTGTGCCCGTCTTCGCCTTCACTTTTCGCAGTACCCGCACTCCGGCGCTGGCTGACTTCCTCAGACGCTGCCTGGCGAGAGTAAAGAAGACCCGAGGGCTGATCGATCCAATGCAGAGACAATCGATGTCGGAGGACTTGGACCACACCCCGAGCCCGTAAGATCCGACGGGGGAGAGCACGATCGCCGGTCGACCACGTGCCTGCTCGTCTGTCGAATGGTCGGTCTCGAGAAGAATCTGTTGGAGCACTTCGAGAACTCGTTTCCGGTCCGACTCGTCACGGTCCGTCGGGACGACGTCAAGATGTTCTAGGCACCGTTTCAGTGCTGTGATATCTGACAAGGAAGACGGTGCCCGTCGAAGTTCGACAGGTACGACTCGAACGCTAGGGCCGGGTCCATCCCCCGCCGAGGAGCGCTCTAGTAGGCATCGGATCCCCCAGTGGTCACTTGCGAATAGGGGTTCCTCTGGCCTTTCTCCCACGCTAGTGAGGAATCCGAACATGTTGAATCGAGAGATGTGTAGAGGACCGCCAGCCTTGACTAGAATACGATCGTACCTCTGCGGGCGGTGGTTTAGACCGCTACCGACCATCTTCGCAGCTTGCGGGTTCTCTCTGGGATCAAAGGTGGCGCCTTGTTCGCCTTCGAGGAGGTCGTCGATGCGCCCCTTGACACAATCGCTCACACCGGACTCAACGCGTGATATCAGCCACGCGTCGAGAAGGTTGGCCTCGGAAAGTGTCATCTCAATGCTGCGCAGGACGTCTTCCGTCGAAGTCGTGATGGTGCCCCGCCTCACTGCGGCATCGATCGTGTAGGAGGACGTGGCGATGTTGAAGTCTCCCGCGATGATCCACTGGTTTGCTGCGTAATGCATCTTCAAATGATCGAGAATACGCTGAAGTTCTCTGCCAGTGGTCGTTAGCAGCCGCTATGGCGAGGAATAGAGAATAAGGCATTGGAGCTACCTTTCTTTCGCGACGACAGCACCGTCTGTCAAGCCTTGGCTCAGGTGGCATGTGGCAAGAACTAGAGGCAAATCTGGCCTTTCCGCCAGATCTTCGAATTTGAGGATACTTGATCCTTTATGTCGTCTCTTAGAGGGCAGGTATTGCCACGAAAAAGCATATTTGCTAAACACAACAGTATTAAGAATATTCGGCAGTGGCCCCGCCGCGGGATCGTCCGGTGAACCTTCGGAGACGTAGGGATATGTGGTTTGAATCCGATCATCTGCGAGCAGGAAAGGAAGAAAGTCATCCGTGACCTCCTGGAGAACCACGACGTCTGCAAGCGCGGTCCCTGCAACAAGATTTTCCACAATCAAGGGATATCGGACGCGAGATGGGGGATGCTGGAATTCGGCGAGTACGTTCCAACTAGCGACAATGAGGTTTTCTGGCGGCTGCGTGCTGGGGCATAGGACCTCAGCACGACTATCCAACGGCTTCCAGGCCAAGTCTGGCTCGGAGAAGCGCCACGTTGGTCGGGGGATGAGTGCTGAAGATACTTCTCGGCCCAAGCCCGGGCTCGGGGAGTCTTCGCAAATGGTGAGAGATGGAGACACCAAGTCGATCAACCCCCATTGCCTCATGCGACCTGACGGAGTACGAATGAGAACGGCCAGTTGGGTAGCCTCCCAGGATACTAGTGGTAGCCGGCGAAGCTTTTCGAGTAAGAACTCCAGCTTGGATGAAAGGGCTGTATCTTCACACTGGGCTACCGTCATGTGCATGCTGTACGATTCTGGGCGGGTCTGGCCGACAGCGTTGAGAATGGCACATCTTAAAGAGGTCAGGCTCGAAACCGTCTTCTCGCGCTTGTCACATAGGTATATGGTGCTACCGTTTCTGTGAGAGAAGAAACCCGGTGAGTCCAGGCGAATGGGAAGAGCAGCAGAGTCGCCAGCGGCCGCGCGAACCTCCAGACATGACACGATGGCCTCGCAGGTTTCTTGCAGGGCGTTGCTATCGGTAAATTGTACGAAGGGGTAGATGAGGTTTACGTGCGGGGGCCACTTCAGATATGATTTGTCGTTGTCGAAGCGAAGGCGGTTTACAGATGGCCATTGTGGCTCGGGGGGGATAAGGCAGAGAGCCGTATCGTAGGGTGTAGACTGCGACTCCATGAAGGCAGGCTGACTCTGCCGAACAGAGAGATGTGCTGGCGTATTGACGGTGGCTTGATGCGCTCGGTCGTCACACAAGGAAAAGGTCGGTCGCCGTGGGGAGATAGTTTGGGTGCGCAAGTTTTTCACAGAAATTGATATTCGATCGAGGTGTCGGGCGCGAGGTATCGTGAGACCGAGCAGCAGTCGTCGTCGTATTTAAGAAGATGGATAGAGGCGGAGTGCCATTTCCTTTTTCGCCAAAGTGCCCCGTGTTTCTGGGGATTGAGGCGAGAGCAGGGTTCCTTCAGCCTCCTTCAGCCCAGCTTGATTGCATGCAACATCCCGTCGATGTCGGGCTTAGCCTATGTACCTTACCTTAGGCTGTCACTGTCGACGAAGGGTCTACGAAGATGAGTTCCTACTTGTCGAGGGGTGGGAGGGGGCAAAGCGCCCACTCGCCAGGCCGTATGTGTCAGCTGGAGCTCTCGGACTTGCACGACCCTTTCTATGTCAAGGTTGGCAAGGACCCTGGTGACTCTAGAGAATAGGCCGGCTTGAACCAGCATACACAATACAAACAAATCAAGTTTTGAGGGTCTTTTGAGTTGCCGAGATGACTCACATGACCATGGCAATACTCTGTCTGAGTTGTAGTGTTATTGTAGTAATAATAGTACGATGGACAGTCTGAGCAAGTCGCCGGTGACTCAGAAGCCCAGTTTCAAGTTTCAAGTGACGCAAGTCCAGCTTGGTAGGGAAGACGGGGGCATCAGGCATTGTAGTATAGGTTAGGTCAGGTAAGGTGTGACTGCAATGTTCCTTCATCTGGTCCCAGCCGGCCGAATTGCTCCATATGCATCCGACGTGTCTCCCTCGCTAGGTACACACATCCAAATACCTACCTAGGTTTGGTACATAAGGTACCTAAGGTCGATCGGCACGGCACGTAACGTACAACCGTCAGGGCATCATTGTCGTCTCAAGTGCTCTTTTACCCCTCCAATTCCGCCCCCTCGGGCATGTCCATCGCATCAAGGCCGCCCCAATCAATTGAGTCCTGACCTTTGCCCTCCATCAAGGCCTCTAATTTATCCTCGTTTGTCACGTACGCCCCGTTTTGTCTCTTCTGCGAGATCGCGTATCTGATGGGGTCCCGCCATTCCTGCAAGACACAATACCGTTAGCATTCCATTGAGGCGACGTATTTGACACGACGACATTCGAGAGACTCTCTCTGCCTTACCCGCCACCAGACCTCCTCGTTCTGCACTGCACATCTCCTCGCTTCCTCGCCGTTTTTGGCCGACGCAAAGGGCCAGACAGACTGCACCACCTCGTATTTGTGCTTGCCAGAGAATAATTTCTTCATGCCTGTCATGAATTTATTCGTCTTGGGCTGGTTCTGCACCACCACTTTGGCGTGTGCCACGGGGAACGAGACATGGAGCGCTCCCTTGTATTGAGTTGCCGCGAGAAGGGCACGTAGCTGACCTTCAATCCACATCGTATCCATGTTTGCTACCACTCGGTCGAGTGCTAATCGAGTTGCACAATGTTAGCACCGTGGTTGATCTTCTGCTTTACAACTGGACGTCTCACAGAAGGTCTTGACTTGGGCCGGATCTTCCACGAAACGACGACACCACTCCTCGAGCTCTCTGTCGCCAACCTCGGGAATGACATCTGCTTTGGTGCCTCCACGGTAGGCCACCTCGCCCTCCCCGACGCATCGAAGGTATTGCATCCGCTTGTTTGTCTCGTCCGGCACGAGCAACCCCATGAGATTGAGCTTAATGTCAAAGTCGGTCTTACGTCCGCGAGTGCCCTTGATATGTATAACAGGCTTTGGCGGGATGCTCGCCTGCGTTCTGATGAACGAGACCAGTGCGTCGGCGTTTGTCGAAAGATTCCTCGACTTGCACGAGAGAGCGGTGCAGTCCGCCGAGAGGCTGGATTGAGGTGGTGAGTACAGCTTGTAGTCGAGTCTGGGTAGACCAGGGTAGAACGGCGGCTCTTGAGCGTCCCAGGCGCGGTTTGAGATGTTCGTCTCCGAAGGACCCGAGTAGGGCGGCGGGGTCAATGATACTTCACTGTCCGTCGTCGAGACAGTATCGTCACTTCTTTGTCTCGACAGGAGGCTCTTCTCCATCGCCAAGGAGCTGGATGATGCTGCAAGCCTAGATGCCAGCAATGCCGGCCTTCCTGATGGGACTGGTGGCATCGGTGAGGCTAACATTGTTGGGGGTATCGGTACCTGCGGCGTCGCCGTTCTCGCCGTCGTCCTCGTCAATGTCTCGGTCGCTGCTGGCGGCGGAGTCGTCGAGGGCGTCACCGTTGTCGGCGGCAGAGGCAACGGTGGTAACATAGACTCATCCACGGTGGACATGATGGTTGGCGCTAGTCGTCTAGACACCTCGCAAGATGGTGTGTTAATTGCAGGGTATGTATGTTCTGGTCAACGGGTGTCAGTCCGAAGCTCGAAAGGCTGTCGAAGAAAGAAGTCATCTGACGCAACGCGAAAGATTAAGATGGGAAGAATCGATGCGATTAGATGCCTGGAACTCGTACAACACTTACTTCATTTAATAGTAGAGTCCAGACGACTGACCAACGCTGCCAGGCCGTGCTTTAGTTACGAGAACCCCGGCCGCCGCTGCCATGCAGCTTACGTAGGTCGTGCATGGTTTACTATCTCGTTGCCTTGAAGGAAGCGGTTTAATTATCTCCATTGCTCCAACGTACGGTGCTCTGCTACTAGTGCTAACCTGTAGGCACCAACGTTTCCAGCACCGCGGCGCAGCTGCTCCTTGCTCACCCCCCTGCACTTGACCACTTTTGTCGTCGAGTGCCGTCTGCGGATTAGATTCAGCCCTGTATACTCGGCCAATCCGATGATCTTCGACACACGCGCATTCCAACCTCTCATATCACACTGACGACAGGGAAGGTTGTTGATCATCAGGAAATTACGACGAATAGGCTATCGGGTAGACCAGTCTTATTGTCATACGTATACTTGTACTACCTGTGGTAGGTGAGGCTGACGGCTCGAGAGACCATAATCCTGCCCGGCTCATGATGCCTCAGTCTCAATAAACCCAACGCCATCCTATGTTATCCCAAAAAGTCGTGATATGCTATTGCTGCATCGTCCAATCCATGCCGCACGCCATGCTCAGTCCGCCAACGCCCAACCAACGAATCGCTCAATACATCCAACCGCTGCCGCGTCATGCAATCATTTCCTCAGCTTGTCTCTGCGTGCCAGGCAGCGTGTGGACAGCTTGTGGGCCAAAATGGATCAAACGAGCTGGAATCCGTCGTCCTCAGCGACGGGGGCGTGCTCCTGTCGGAGACTCTGACGTGCCTTGCGACCCTTGAGAACCTGACCGTTCTCGTTGAGAATCTCGTACTCCTTCTCCACCATGCGCTCTGTCTCGCGACCCGAAGTCTTGACAAAGACGTCAAGTGTCAGCGGGCGATTGGGGCTCACAGTACTATCGAAACTGTACTTCCAGTCCTCCGAGGCGGCTAGACTCTTCCTCCAGCCGTCCTCAGATGGAACCAGGTCCATGAGCGACTGGCTCAAAGGATCCTTAATCTGTTCCCTGGCCTGCATCGTGGAATTTAGACGCCCTTGGTTCGAGGTCCAGTGAGGGCGCATCTTGGTAACGTTATTTTGAGGCTTTCTGTAATGGGAGCTGACGCGAGGGTTAGCGACGACCGATCTCAACTGCGATTGCGAGCTGAGTGCAGAGCAACATACATTTCGCTGTTCTTGACCCTTGGACGGCTCTTGGCGCGCTGGTGCTCGGTACCGCCAACAGCCTCCAGGTTGGCCCAGTCGATACGGCAACCCACAAGCGGACGAGCGCCGTTGGACCATTTGGACTGTGAGTCCTTGTCCCTCTTGTAGTCTTGATGTGCGCTTCGAAGGTCACGCTCGAACTGGGGCTGGGAGTCTGTCGTGGCAGCCATGATATTCGGAATCTGAACAACTAGATGAAGTACGGGCGAGTGGAGTCGTTCGGAAGAGCGGCGCTGATATACAGACGCAATATCAGGTCCAGAACGTCTGAGGGAAGTAATGCTAGGGCCGACAAGGTTTTCGGTGTTGGTAATCTGATTTGTTTTGCACAAGGCTTTGTAGGAATCGAGGGACGTGTAGGTGTATTCGGGTAGTGATCAGTAGGAAGACGGATGGTCGAGGTTAGATATAGAAGTCGTCGGAGGAAGGAACCTCTGGGGTTTATGCCCGTTTCGGTCTTCGGTAGGAAGCGGAAGCAAGGCGAAGGCTAAGGTGGGTAGGTACCTTGAGGTGAGGCAGGTGTGGGAAGGTAGGCGAAGGTAGGTAGGGAAAGTATGTAATCAAAGAGACGGAACGAGATGCTGGTAGGGACGGAGGTGGCCGGGTGAGTCACCGGGCACGTTGAGTTGGTGAGAGAGGTTGCGGGAAGGCGAGGCCAAACTCGATGGAGAAGACTCGGGCGAGGTTACCAAGGATGCGAACGAATAACAAGAAGCGATACGGTTGCAAGGTTAAAGCAATAAGAATGTCCAGTTTGTAAGGTAGCAAAGAAACAATCTCACGCCAAGGTAGAGAGAGCAGAGGAAAGCGACACTTGAGTTTGGGGCTGCGATACAAAGGTTTCTTACAATCGGGAAACGGGAGACGAGTCAGGGAGAAAGCAGGACGTCCGAAGGGTATGTAGCGGGATCGGGTGCTGTATATAAGAAGACAGGTAAGATGAGTAGGAGTAAGAGACTACATAGTATGTACCTTGGTGTTAGTGACCGAGAGGGCCGTGTCTGTACGTGACGACGATGCGCCGCCTTCCACGGGCCATGAACCATGTCTGGAGGCATGAGCCATGATGCTTCCCGGCCTGCTTATCTCCCATCCGACTACCAGGAGGTACCTTAAGGTAAGGTAGGTAAGGTAGGCAAGGCCAGTCTTGGGTGTCTCGGGGGCTTTTGGTTTTCTTTTTGGCAGGCTTGTCGTCTCGGCTTAGCGGGCATGCGGGCGATAAGAATGCCCTACTGATACGTGAGGTACCTTAGGTAGGCCACACTAGTTAGGCCGGGTCTTGTTCCCCTGATCCTCATCCTCAGTCGAGGTTCAAGCTTGGGGGGTAATCATGACTGCGATACGGTATGATAAAGCTCGGGGGGTGGCCAAAGAGATGAAGACAGAATAGGGCCCTATACATAGTACTGCCGCGTGCATACGGATAACCGGTATGGAATCCAGTCGCAGAGGGGGTGTAGGCGTAAGGTGTTCCATCTGTAGAATGCACACGCTGCAGAAAGTGATGCACCTGCTCCTGTTTTGGGCCAACTGGACACGATTCCTCCAATCATGTCAGCCCAACAAGGCCATGGCGTGGGGGACGGCGGACATGCCAGAGCACTACGCAGACCTGGCAATAATCATGCGGCACCTGTGCCCAGCTGCTTTTGACCACCTAAGGTACGAATACACATGTAGCCAGAAAGGTGATGTCATCCCTGCCTGGGCCACCTGCACTTGCACTTCCTTATTCGCGACACGCTCTTAGGTGGGTTGCGCATCTCGTGCTAGCCGAGTAGGTGCCTCAGTCCTGGTGACAACGGGATGAGGCCTAGAATCAGATCGAGCGCTGAGGTAGCCACCCCTCTTACCCACATTCCCAAGACCAAGAGCCTGCTGCCTTCCTGTCAGCTGGTAACTCTGAGCCACGCCGCTCTGTTCGCCTCGCTGTTGGATCATGGAGCGTCCAGCTATCTTACCTTAATTACCTACCTACCTGGTAAGGTGCCTACCTACCTTAGGTACCTCACGGTACTGTACCGATGGCTTAGTATCGGGCTGGCCACAGGCACCACCACCGCCGCCGGCCGCCACCTTCTCCGTCTTCCTCTCCTCGGCGTCTCTCTCGCGAGGCCCTGCTTTGTTTCGCTTACACGTTTCCACCCTCGGTCAACATTCTTCGACTGGTCTTTCCGTCATTTGTGACGTCTCTAGTGACATTTGTCTTTGATCCCTCCGCCACCCCGATCCCGGCTGAGAGTATTCTCCAAATGTGGTGAATAATGGAACGGGAGCCTCATCTCAAATTGACCAGCGCAGCTGAGGATCGAGACTGACGAATCCGGCCTTCTGTTGTCCGAAACTTGAAGGTCCAGCTGTTCTCGTTAGCGTGCCTCGACCGAGGACTTTGCGACCAACAATAAAACCGCCAGGTACATACATACCCGACGTATCGGGATAAGACGGGGCGAAGGAAGTTCCGGCTGTACATTTCCAGCTAAAGATATTCCCGTCTCCCGTGCTCACGCATTGATCACCTCTCGTCTTGGCAACCACCTCACCCATCGCTGTGGCACGCTACCAACCGAGAAACCCTCGGGCCCCCGAGTGCAATCTCTCTCCTTGGATCCCGACAGAAGACTCCCCTAAAGCCAAAAGGCATCGAAATCAGATGATGGCTCAGTCAGAGCGCTGTCAGACACGAGAAAGCCCGTTCCTTCCTATCTACCCTGGTCAACAACAACAACAACAACAACAACAACAACAATAACCACAATATCAATCGGTTGAACCAACATCCACCGCACGGCATCCGCTTCTTTTTCCCCGCCCTCTCACACCCTTTTCTTCCCGTCTCGTGTCTCCAGGCAAGAGCCAGCTCATTTTTTGTAATCAAGCTTCATTCTATCCGAAAGCCACCCCTTCCCGCAGCCGCCCGTAGCGCTCCCGTCGCCTTCAGAATTGGTACTGGCTACCTTATGTCAAGGTCTACGGCCACGGGCGTTTATTTACCCCTCTTCGTGTCTGGTCTTGCCGGTGAGCATCTGCGCTTGGCAAGACTCAGACCAGAGTTGTCCAGCACCATGCCAGGAACGAGACCAAGGTGTTATCGACCGGCTCGGCAACGACACAATACGAACATCCAAGATAGGGTATGAGCTTTCAAGGGAACGCGAGAGATCAAGCCACAAGAGCGTATACAGGTCCACTGCAGCATTTCAGGTCTCCCGGCAAGCAAGCTGGTTGGTCTTGTCTCCTTCTACATCTCTGCGTCGTTGACAGACTTTCTACGTCTTCTCACACGTAGTCGACCATTGAGCATTGGCAAACCAGGCTACTTTGGCTGACTTCGACCGCCTGATCACAGGTGTGGATTGCATATCCGACAACCCCCCCCCAAGTTAACTGCCAAGTTCAACCGTCGTGTGGCCACGGTCACGGTTGCGGTCCGCGTCTTGGTGTTTTCGGCCGAGCCAGGCCCGACCACGGGCCAAAATCATCGGTAGTGGCTGGAACCCAAAGACAGTATAATAATCCCTGCGGTATGGGCACAGCAGTATGGCCAAGGCAAGTGGGAAGCTTTCGTGCTGGCTGTATAGCAAAGCAGCCTAGCAAACACCATGTTGGGTTTCTCCTCGCCGCCAGTATCCTTCGGCAGGTGATCCCGTATTGACTTGCAAACAGAGCGTTAACTGGAAGGGTCGGGATGAGCGTGTACAGACCTGAATGTTGTTGTCCTCGCACTGCTCAAGCTGGGCTCGGGCGGCAAAGAAGCGGCCAGAATTTTCATCCTTCCTCTCGCTAGGGACGGGTAGTAGATGCCAGGATGGAAAAGACCGCGATCGACCAAAAGTCGGATACATTCTTAGAGTCAACCTCGATTCTGCACTGACCCAGCAAGTGTGGGGGATGTGGCCTACCATGTGTTTATTTTTGCAACCGCCGTCGGCACTAAAGCGAGGAAAGAAAGGCTCGGACACTAGACCGCGCATCTTCACTTCTTCGATCCAATCCTTTGGTGAAAAAACAAAGGAGGGATGAACTGACTGAGTTTCGTCCTGGTTTTGTGCTGGCAATGGCTTCTGTTTACCAGCGAATGGACGTCAATAGAGAAGTCTCCGAGAAGCATGGCCTTTGCCCCAAGCGCGTGTCTTGACAGGCGCCCAGGTCATGATGGCAGCCCGGCCGTCATAGAACTCGGCCGCTTCTGGCTAGATGAGGCCACAGAACTGACCAACTCTGCATCGCATCTTTTGAGTGCCATGCGTTCTGTTGTCTCGTTTCGCGTTGTCTTAACGAGCGATCCAACGACTTGGCCCCCAATTCATTGTTTCGTCCAACGCGCCTTGCCCGAGCCGACGATTACTCGACAATTCCGGCGACTTCAAACCGCTAGCTTAACTGAACTCTTGCGGACACAAAGACGAGGCCCATGTTTCTCTCTCTGATGAGCTCTGTATGCTCCATGCAATGTCAGTTTCGCTTGGTAATATCTGGTTTGCCTTGAAGCCACTTCCAGGTACGCGGGGACTCGAAGCCACGACGCCTTGTTTCGTCAAACCGCCATTTCGAACTTCTCCTTCACTGGCAGGGCGCCATCTCCATCCTCATTCATCACCGGAGGGAACGACGCTCAGCTCCCAGCTTATGAGGCTGCCGTTAGCGCCATATACTGGCCTCACGAACGATTATGCTTTGTCCATGATCAAGGGCGCGATGGTACACCGTCCGAGCCACTGGCTAGCTCCTTGCCCGTTGGTATACCGCTTGCTAGGTTTTCAACGCCATACCGTGGAGGTCTGGTGTGAACCGACTGAGATGCCACGTCGGGCAGAGAATATATATCCCCCTTATTCTTCTCATCTCTTCGGTCTTTTTCCATCATCCTCATCAGCATCTTTTCTTTTTCACTCATCACAGTCTTTCTTTCTGCTTCTCGTCTGAGAGGCGCCTTTCCTTTGCAAATATTCGAACCCGGCAACACACCGCCGTCATGTCTTCCACCCTTCTTCGCCTGCTTGGCCTCGCTGGCACGGCCCAAGCAGTGTGTTCCAACTTCGTCATCGACAACTTTTCCAGGCCCGCCGTCGGTGGAAACAACAAACTCAAGTCGTGGACTAGCGACGACTCGTCCATGGCAGACATAGCCATCAAGAGCGGTGTACTTTCTTTTACGCCCAAGACTGACAGCTCCTCATACTACTATGAGACTCTCGGCTGCGTCAAGGCCGCCTCCAAGGGTTACAAGGCCTTGTCCCTGACCATGAATGGGCCCAAGGACGCTTCCGTCATGTTGGAAATTCAAACCAAGGCCTCTTGCACTGACACCAACTACCAGAGCCAATGGGTTCAGATCACTGGGCTGACTGGCTCAGCCCAGAACATCTCCATTGCACTCTCTTCGTTCACTACCGCTAACCTGGATGCCGTATCGGGCTTCGTCTGGTCTACGTACTCCGTCTTCGACAAATACCAGCTTAGCAATTTGCAGTTCACTTGCGATGATGGGTTGAACCCTCCCGCTTCAACGGCTCTCACCACCTCTCAATCTGATTCTACTTCATCTTCTGTTATTTCGGCTTCGACCATTGCCACCCTCTCTTCTAGCACGGCATCATCTTTTGCTACATCGGTTCGTTCGTCGAGCTTCACCGGCAACGTGGATGCCCAAACCAGCTCGTCGCCCCGTACGTCTACTTCCTCTTCACGCACAAGCACAAAAACAAGCTCAAGCACCTCGACCTCTCCGACGTCGATTTCATCTTCGTCCGCCTCGAAATCGTCTTCGAGATCAACTTCCCTAACGTCATCTTCAGCAGCTCTATCTTCGGCTACTTCATCGTCCTCTACAGCTATGTCGTCCTCGGCCACGTCAATCTCGGCTACGGCTGTCTCGACAGTTTCCAGGTTATCTACCAGCAACTCAATCATCTCTGGTACCGTCACCGCTCCGTCGTCGCCATCCTCTTCGACTTGCAGCAACCTCCTGATTGATGACTGGGCGTCTCAGTCTCGCCTGACATTCCTCTTCTACAACGCCATGCTACTACCCAGCAGCGATGATGGAACCATGAAGGCAATTACAGTCGCCAACAACCGGGTTACTCTGCAGGCCAATGGCCAGGATTCCTACTTCTACAGCAAGACTGGTTGCACCAACGCCAAGGCAAAGGGCTATGGCGGGATTTCTTTGCGCATCAAGGCTAAGGCTGGCACCACCTTTCAAGTTCAGATGGCATCGTCGGCAACCTGCGGTGACGACTCTGCCTTTGGCTATGCGACCACCAAGGATCTTGGCTGGACTTTCAACGGAAAGGAGCAGCTGTACAACATCCCCTTTTCCAAGGTCTCCGGTTTCGACACGTCGAAGATCTCATCCATTCTTTTCAGCTCCTTGACTTCAGACGTGACATTCGGTCCCATGGCGTTCTACTGCGGCAACATCGCTTCCGAGTACATTCTCGACCCTCAGGCATCAGCCACTGCTTCAGTGGTCACCGTCGCTGCTCCTAGCGGTACCAATGCGGCCAAGGTCATCGACAACTTCTCCAAGAAGGATTCCAACTCTCTCGGTTTCTGGCATGGCGGCGATGTTGACACGGCTCTCACCTGGGGCGCCAATAAGCTCACTATCAAGGCTCCCGACTCCGACTTCTCCTTCTACACGCAGCTCTCTGCTACGTGTGCGGACATGACCAGCTACGACGGCGCTTACCTCCACATCGCTTTCACCGGAAGCAATAAGTTCAGCGTTGCTTTACAGCAGCACAACTCGAAATGTGATGAGACTATTGCTCCTTTCCCCGAGACTTGGGACTCTCTAGAGGCTGCACGCTACACGACTGGCAACGACATCTACATTCCTATGACACACTTTAACATCGTCCGGAAGCGTGTTGTCGGTATTGCCTTCAAGGGCTGGTATACTAACGAGGCTACCACTTTGACCAAGGTCCAGATCGTTTCGTCTGTGCCAAACAATGTCTACATCCCGGCCAAGTTACCTTCCGGCAACCTCGTGTTTGCCTGCAAGCGCCCGAACTCTATCGCCTTCGCCATTGACGACGGTGCTCCGGAATTCGCCCAGGAAGTCATGGAGGTCATCAAATCGGAAAACATCAAGGTCACTTTCTTCACCGTCGGCGCGCCTTTGAGAGATCCGTCTACCAACCTCAGCAGTATCTATAAGGATATGATGGCCCAGGGTCACCAGATTGCACTTCACAGCTATACTCATCCCCACATGGAGGGTCTCCCAAACAACGACGCCATTGCCTGGGAGTACGACCAGGATATCCAGACAGTTAAGGAAACATTTGGACTCAGCACCAAATACTTCCGCCCTCCCTTTGGCACCGAGGGAGCCCGTATGCGCCAACAACTCGCCAAGTCCACCGGCAACGACAATCCATACATTGTCAATTGGAACATTGATGTTGAGGATTGGCTTTGGGCCCAGAGCGATACCCCCGAGAAGCAACTCGAATCTTTCAAGCGTGATTTGGATAAGGGTGGTAGTTTGGTTGTCATGCATTACCTTTATCCCTCCACGGTCAAATACTTGAGGCAGTTCATTCAGATGGCTAAGGCCACCAAGAAGACGCTGATGAGAGTTGATCAATGCATGATGGATCCCGATGCTCCTGCTTTGTAGGATGCATTCCTACCCTTTCCGTTGTTTCTGTAGGTGGTGTTATTCAAGCATCAGATGGTGCTGGGTTAGAGAGTTTTGAGTAATGTTTGATTTTTGTTATAGACTATACCTTCACAGACCTTCTTTTTAATACTACTTTGTTGTTTAAAAATAAATTATCCCCACATTGATTCGCACTCTCGTCCAGTCTGGACAGGGTCTCAGTGACATGTCAATCGCTATGGCTGACAATGTTGAGACCGTCATTGCCATTGCTCTTCGTTTGCATTGTTTCCAGTTTAAAGTGGCTTCAAATCTCATAATGGAAAATACTGCCCAGGTAGTCAGTAACACGTGGTGTTCCATGCGGTAAGCTATATCAGCGCCTTGGTAGTATACCCTTGCTTTATGCGTCTAGTATATTTATGCCCTAAGTAAGACCTTTCTAGATCCACTAGACTACTAAAAACAAATAACCTACTAGGTTTATAAATATATTATAAAGAGAATAAAGGAGTAATATAGAAGAAAGAAGATATATCTTAATAAAGCATTAGAGTAAAGATCTAAAATTAAAACTCTTAAAATATTTAATCTATTTAAAAGATATATAACCTATATATATTTAATATATATCTTTATTTTTATATTAATATTTACTTTAATAAGTATTTTTATTAGTAATAGTTTCTTTAAAATATTTTCTTTTAAATAAGCTAAATAATATTTAGTTTATATTAGATATTAAGTATTAATATACTATATTATAATTTAAACTATATATTTAACTTACTATAGATTTAATTTAAGCTTTTAGCACTTTTAGCTACTATATTATTATTAGTATTATTAGACTAGTTAAAATAGTAAAGTATATAAAAGATATTAATAATAGTATTTATATTTAAAATAGATATCTCTAAAAGGTCTAAATAAATAGGTATAATAATAAGGTATAAAAGTAGATATTATTATTATAAGCAGTTATATAGCGCTATATATAACCTTAGACTAAGCGTTTTAAGTTCTAGATGCCTAGGCGTTTAAGTACTAAGGGGTAGTATAGAGTATAAATAAGTAAATATCTTAATATTAATAGTCTTTTATTTTATATTAATTATTTACTTAAATATCTAATTAGATATATAAATTAAATAATTATATAATAGCCTTTATTATTAAACTATTAAATAGTTAGTAAATAGCTATTTTTTAGATAGTAATTATTTATATTATATTTCTCTCTTATTATAATATTTATTAGCTAATTATTATATATTTAAAATAATACTTTTATATACTATTTATCTCTTTATTTATAATAAAGTAGTAAAAAGCTATATTTGGTAATAACTTTATTAATATATTAATTAAGTTATCTTATTTATTTATCTATTAAACCTCTAATAGTTTAATTTTTTTTATATAACTAATAGAGTATTATAATATTAATTATAAGCTATTTCTCTTTTATAATACCTAGCTTAACTAAGTATTTATATAGAGAGTATAAAAGCCTTTAGGCACTATATTATAATTTAAACTATATATTTAACTTACTTTAGGTTTAGCTTAGCCTACTAATTAACTAATAGCTATTTAGCTATATAACTTATAGACCCTATATATAAGCCCTCCTACTTTAGCTATTAGTTTATTACTTTATACCTTAACTTTCCCTATTATAATATTAATAATAATAATAATTTTTTATTAAGATATATCTAATACTTTAATACTCTTCCTTTAAGCTACTCCTCCTAGCTATCTATTAGATAATTAGCCCTAAAGCTATTAAGCTAATACCCTATTATACTATTATATTATTACGTTATTAATATTAAGCTTTTTAAGAAAATTTAAATATAACTTTTTACTTATTATTATTATTAATACTATTTAATAAAGCTATGATAGTCTTATTACTTATTATTAGCTATATTTATAATATATTATTTAAATAGGCCTAAATTATAGATTCTTAACTTTAAGCTTTAGATCTCTAGCTATTTAGAGGAAGCCTATAAGGTATATATAAGTAAATAAACTAATATTAATCTATATAAATAGCTCTATTCTATCTTTTTTATTATCTAAATACTTTAAAAAAAGTAAAATAGGTCTAAAAAGTAGTTTATAATTAAAGATAAATTCTATAAGAGTTCTCTTCTTAAATAAGGTTACTAAGTCTTTATATCTAAAGCTTAGGTCTTAGATTTTATATTTAGTAATTAGGTCTATTATATTCTTAAGCTTATTAGGGGGTATACTAAATAATATCTTAAAGGAAGGATTTAAATATAGTAATAAAAAAGGATTATAAAAAGATAAGGAATAAGCCTTTAGCCTAAAAGTTAGAATAATAGCTAGCTTTATAGGCCTACTTAATAATATAATAGAGATATTATTCTAACTAAAGAACCTTAAGGGTATTAAGGGATTTATAATAGAGATATTATTCTAGCTAAAGGACCTTAAGGGTATTAAGGGGTTTATAACTAGAAAGTTTAATACCTTTATAATAGGTTTAAGCTATTATTGTTACTTATTAGTAATTAGGCTTATTACTTACTCCCCCCCCCCCCCTCTATTTTTCCTATAGCTCTTATAAATAATATATATACTTAAAAACCTTAGTTAGGCTAAGTATATTAATATTAATTTAATTATAAATTATATCTATTTATTTTATTAGGAGATAGTATAGGCTAAAGTACTACTATTATAATAAATATATTATAGAACCTTATATTAAGAAACTACTATAAAGCTTATTTAGAGCTAGGCACTAGTTTATCTTTATATAGAGAATATAAGTCTATATAGATAATAGTTAGAATTAATAGAGTAATATTAAGCTTATTTATAATCTATTTAAGTATTATTAAAAGAGTAAATACTAAATTAATATTAATAACTATAGTATAGATTTTTAATACTAAAATATTATAAGTAATATATTTATATTTAGTAGATAAATAATAAATAATATTACTTATTATTTTAAAAGAGGAGTTATTAATAGAGGCTTTATTAATTAGTATAATAATATAACTAAATTAAGAGGTAAGGTTTATATTATTTATAAATAAACTATTAATAAAGATAAATAACTTAATAGTTATAAAGTTAATCAGAATAAAAGATGGTTTTCTTATTATATTTTCTTTCTATTAAGTAATTTATTAATTTAATATTATTATATTAGTATTAATAGGTTATTATTACTAAATAGCTATAAATAAGTTAAAAGTGGCTTTAAGCTAATAGATAGAAGTAATATAGACTCTATAGGCTTTCTAATTAATATACTACTATTTTAATATATTATTAATCTTATTAATAATAAGAGGCTTATTAATAGTTATTAATTTAATACTTTAGATCTTTTAATATAAACTAATAGTACTAATAGTATTAAAGCTAATTATATTACTATTAAATATAATAAGGTAGCTAATAGTTAATTAATTTTTTAGCTTAGCTATAAAAATAGCCTTTTTAAGCTTTATTTCTTTTAGGGTAGAGAAATTATCTATTAAGAGGCTAATAATATTATTAGTCTATATATTTATAATAGTAAAGTATTAATAGATTAAAAAAGAAATTAAAAGGTAGAAATTAAATATAGATATATTTATACTTAATTTATTTTTATAATAGATATTTTATATTACTTATTAATAAGTATTAGCTTTAGTAATACTATATAAAGGCTTAATAACTTTTATAATAATACTAAATAAATAGAAATATTTAATCTATTTAAATAAATAGGTATAAATCTCTATAGCTAATATTATTTATAATTAAATATAGGCTTAAATAATATTATATATTTAGATCTTATAGTTCTTACTAAAGGTAGGAGTAATAACTAATAGTAGTTATAAACTATAGTATTAAATTATAGGGGACTATATTAAAATACTCTACTTATTATTATTATTAACTCTATAGATAATAAGTTATAACTTCTTATAGAGTTTTATAGTTTTATCTTTAATTTTATTAACTATATATAAGTTAAATATTCTATTAAGTACTTTAGAGATATCTATTAAGTAAAAGACTTTATAGTCCTATAGGGTAGTAATCTCTTTATAGTATAAAGTATAAAAGAGTAGTTTATTAAAAAGTAATATATTATCTTTTTATAACTTTAAGTAGAGGTCTTAATTAGACTTTTCTTTTATTATAATAAATATAGTAGTATTATTATTATTATATTATAGCTAAGAATAACTTAATACTTAATTTCAAAAATCGAATATTATTTAAAGCTAATTCTTAACCTCTTTAGTTAAGAATCCTTAATAAGTAGTATAGGTTTAAGTAGTATAATATAGCCTTACTCCTCAAAATAATATATAGATATTTAAGTAATATTATCTATTATCCTAAAATAACTATTTTCCTATTAAGCTATTTATTCTAAATAACTTTAGCTTTTATTTTATTTATACCCTTATTTATATAAAAATTTTATTATATACTTTTTCTTTTTTAGCTTAGCTATTATAATCTTTTAGCTTAGCTTTATATTATTATAAATTTTTCTTATCTTTATTTTTTTATTTTTTAATTCCCTTAAAAATATTAAAATACTAAAAGTTAGCTACTCTCTTAAATATTAAGGTAGTTTAGAGGTATATAGTAGATAATTTATTATTACTTATAAGAGTAAGGACTTTTATCTCTAAGTCCTTAAGGCTTAAAAAGCCTATTACTATAAGTAAGCCCTTTTTAAAGGCTATTAGCCTTTTCTTAATATTAATTAAATAGCTATTTATAATAGTCTTTTTAATATTAATAATAAGGAGAATAAATAATAAGATATAAGTACTTTAAGCTATAATTAGGGTTATTCTTATAGCTATCCTTATAGTTACTATAGAAACTATAGTAATAATTATAATAGCTTAATAGGATAAAGAGGAAACCTTAATAAGTAGTAATAAAATAGTAATAGTTTTAATAGTAATCTTTTAGGTCCTAGAGATAACTTTAATAATAATAAT